CACGTGCCGGGCGTGAGTTTTAAGCCACCGCGTCCGGGAGGCAAACCGCGGTCGACTACGTGGGAGTCCAGCGACATAGCCATTACGCTAACTGCTGGTTCCCTTGTTTTTTTATTTTTCATGATTATCACTTAGCCTCTGGTCCATCTGTGGCCCTGTTATTTGCAGCTCTTTTTGCTGGGAGATAGCAGACATGAAATGATAGTGTAAGGCCAAAAACATTTTTTTGAGGGGTTTTTGCTGTCTGATGTGTGCTCTGGCTGGAGAGACAGACAGACAGAAAGTGAGAAATCACTCCCACAGTGGGGTAGCTATGCCACAATCCCTTCTCCATTCTCCTCTCAGGATTTTGGGCATGCATGTACAAGCGTCCTGTGTGTTTTAAGCCATGGGTCCAGGACTTGAACCACAGTTGGCCATGTAAGAGTACAGTAATGTAATCATTATGCCATCTGCCGGTCCCAATACCAAAATAGTAGTATAATATTAGTATAATATCATGAACGTATACCCCAAATACTCTAAGCCAAAAAGAGCAACAAGTGAAACTTCCCCATATTTGTGCAAGTATTACCATCATGATTGCAATGTAGTTATCTTTAGTTCTAACAAAAACAACTCAATGCTATGCCATATCAACCTTTCTCATCGAGGGGGCTGTCTGGAATTAGAGATGGGACAGAGGAAAGAACTCCCATTTGTTTCCATAGGTGGAAACTTTCCTGATGCTTTCAACGATGCGTGGTTCCATCTCTACTTTTTCAGCAGTCAAGACTCACCTCCACCCTGAGCTTTGGGCCTGGGGTCTCTCCCTCTTCCTTCTGTGTGGGAATCTCCTTGGCCAGCAGGGTGTAGGTAGTGATCACGACGTCATATGTAGAGAGCCTGCACAGACGTAACACCAACAGTGAATGATTCCTCTGTGCATTCTGACCACCACACAGGCAGAGGTGGTCTCTTTATAAAAGCAGAATTCATTAACGTATGTTCTTCATACACACACACACACACACACACACACACACACACACTTGACTTTGGAGAGGTAAACTTTACCCACTTGGTTCCTAAACTCTTGTCTCTGATGATCTTTACAGTCTACTCCATAGCTAGAGCAGCCCACCCAGTGAGTCAGAAGGAAAATCTCTGACTGGGATCATATTAAGCTTAATATGATCTAGCCAGAGCAGAAAGTAGGCTAGGTTTGGGAATTAACATTTAATAATGATTTGGGATACTAAATTCCTGGGGAAGAAAATCCCTCAAAGCACTGTTCACTTTACATCAACGATGTTTTCTCCCCACCAGTCTATAATGGATTGTGAAAACTTGTTAAACCTAGCTTTGACATTAGGATATAAAAATACATTCTGTAAGCTTTCGGTTAACCTTGGCTATACTATTTACATGTAAATATTCTTAATGAAAGGCACAAATCATTTCACCATAAAAGTTAATATGGGGGGCCAGCAGGTGGTGTGGTGGTGCTCTGGACTCCCACACGGCCAACTGCTATTCGAATCTCAGACCCAGTGGCTAGAAACTCATGCCAGGCACATGTGCATGCATGCCCAAAATCCCAGGAGGAGAATGGAGGCGAAGGGACTGTGGCATGGCCATTGTCCGCCTGGTGGGTGTGATTTCTCACTTTCCCTCTCACTATCTCTCTATGTCTCTCTGGAGAGTGTACATACCCCATGGCAAAAATCTTAAAAAAAAAAAAAAAAAAGTTAATATGAATATACCTCAAAAAGCTCATGGAAATGGAATTAAAATATGGTTTATTCTGGTGCAAAAATATCTTTGAAAGCTATATATATAGTTTTCTCATAATGTACATATTCCATGAATCTCTTGAAGACTTCTTATATTGTGCCCTTGATATAACTTCAATAAATACTTTTGATAAACATGATATGCCTAATTCATAGACAATGATGTCTGTCTACAAATTACCTAACATCATATAAAGAAGTATAAATTGAGGATGATTGCAACCAGCCAGGTCAGTGCAAGTAAGTGCAAGTAGTAAAATCCAATTTATTTCTAAATAAACATCGAGAACAAGGGCAGGCAACTTATAGTACTCTGCCAGGAAAGCCTATGAGCCTGTACTTGCTTCCCTGAGATCTGCTGCCTGCTGAAGTGACCATCAGTCGGGAGAGCTGGAGTTTACAGGACTGAGCGTCATCAAACTGGAAACTTACTCCTGGAAGACTACTGCCCGACTCTTTAGGAGATAAAATAGCCAATACCAGGCTGAGGGGCAGGGCGAGGACACTTAGAAGCAGCAGAAACAACTTTATTCTCATTCTGAAGTATAGGGCAAATATTCACTGCAGATTCTCACATCACAGTTAGAAACAGCACAATTTCTCTAAAACTGAAAGACGAAGTTTAGGACTAAGATTACTATCCTCTTCCTTGACCCCCTTCAGGAATTTATAGTTAAGTCTAATCATCCTAAACCGTAAATCTAAAACTTCTTAGATGGTTCGTGTATGAAAACTAAAGCCATAAAAACATAATCAGCTTATAGCAACTAATCATTAGTACACATCATATCAAGATGCTCTGCAGGACTGGGCTGGTCCCGTTTATCCTGAGAGAAGAACGTGAACCTGGAACAGAACTGCAGCCCCCATATGCTCTTTAGCAGTGGGATGCTACTGCCACCTGGCTGATGACTTAGTCCTCGCAGGCCTCCTCACAGGGCAGCTTTGGTTAGGGACAGGGACATAGCAGAAGAACATTCAATCTCAAGATGTATCTCTTCATAGAGACAAGACTGTCTGGCAATGAGGGTGAAGGTCTGCCTTTGGTTTCTGCAACGTCGCTGCACTTACACTTTCGCACTTTGATTCCGGTTTGGCCCGTGATAGAGATAGACTCTGAGTTTGTTGCTGTTCACATGTTTCTCTACCTCGTTTTTCCAGTGATGGATCAGGGAAGCAGGACAGATAATTAGTGTTCCATGGGAGGTAAAGTCTGAAGAGTCTTAAGACGGGGGGGAAAAAAATCAATACCTGGTTACATTTATCAAACAGCCTTTAATTTCTTAAAGGCATTACCTCTTGCTCTTGACGGACTTTACGCCTTCAATCAATAATGCTAACTGTTGCTCTTATTTCTACACAGGCCTATGGCAGAATAGGAAATGGAAGAGATGGTCTTTGAAATCAATTTAATTATTTATTTTCTCTAAAGTGCCAGAGAGGCTGAAGAGGGGAAGGCAAGTGTGTTAATGGGATGACCTCAGTCTATGAAAGCAATGCACTTTCACTGAGTGGCCAGAGACAGAAGTTAGGTCACTGCCTAACTCTTACAGAGTTGATTCATTACAGGAGAGTATCATTTGGAACTGATTACTGATGGAGTATTTGCACCATTACTCCCACATCTGTGTGTGTGTGTGTGTGTGTGTGAGAGAGAGAGAGTGTGTGTATGCTTTTCCACACAAGAATACAGGATAGAGCTGCCACAGCCTGCCTTAGAGGCCCTAGAGCAGACAACCAGACAATGAGATGGTGATGAGAGAAAAGAGCCGCCTTCGGTTTTCACAATGTCATTATTACTTTTATAATCTATCTAGTCAACTACTGAGAACGACACTCATGTACATGGCAACTTACGTATGCTATTCTAGCTATTACACCTTAAAAACATAGGCTTAGATAAGATAGGAGTTGTCTATAACCTGAAATTTCTGGAATTCCAGAAACATGAAAAACAGATTCCACTACAGTGAACTTATTGAATCTACCCTGTAGCGATCTCCTCGACATTAACAAAAATAATAATTACTATGTTTAAACTCAGCTTTCTCCATAAATTTTTTTCTAATCACAGATCAACCTAATTATATTAAAAGGGAAAAAATGATCACTTATAATGAGCATACTCAACATCAGAAATTAGGGCCAGCAGGTGGCAGGCAGGTTTAAGGTAGCGGGAGCACACATGGCCAATTCCATGATTCCAGTCCTAGACCTGGCAGTAGTGTGTGTGTGCAGGGTGTGTGTGTGTGTGTCTGTGTGTGTGTATACCCAAAATCCCGAGAGGAGAATGGAGGAGAAGGGACTACTGTGTGGCCATCCCCCCTAGGGGGTGACTTCTTTCTTTCACTGTCTCTTTCTCTCTCTCTGGCAAGTGCACACACCCTATAGCAAACTGGGGCGGGGGGTGGGGGGGAGAAAGAAAGAAATTACACCATAGGAAAACTATCTAATACTGGTTTTTTAGTAGATTAATTAAACACAACCAAAGGTATCTTTCTGCATCTTAACCAGCTCCCCTCTTGGCTAGCTCAATCGATACAGGAAACGGCAGGCTATGAAGGCATTTGTGTCTACCATCTTTGGAAAGCCACGTCAAAGCCAGGTTTTTGTCTTTTTCTTTGTTTTCCTCTTGATTCTTCTGGGTTAGGATGAGTGCAATCATTGTCAGGGTTTTTCCTAAGCCCATATCATCCGCTGGAAAATAAAAACAAAATGAAGAGAGTTAATTACTTAGGAAGACTGAAGATAACTTTAAGAGAAGAAACCACTGGCAGACACATTTACCCTTACTCTCCTTGCTGTCAGTGCCATCCAGTGCTATTCTTTGCCTCTCCTAATGGGTCCTTTATCTCCCTTATTAAAATGAGCCCTATGCTATTTATTTTGTGATTCATGCTGTTCATTTTGAGATTTAGGTCAAAGATAGTTACTTACTATGATGCTCATAAAATTTAAAACTTACAATTTGGATTTTATTCTAGTCTGCATGTTATATTGTTACCTACTTAGGTTTGTTGTTGTTGTTTTTAAAGTTTTGCTAGAGGGCACATGAGCTCACCAGAGGGAGACAAAAAGAGGAAAAGTGAGACATCACCCACCAGGGGGAAATGGCCATGCTGCAAGCCCTTCTCCTCCGTTCTCCTCTCCAGATTTTGTGCACACCCATATATGCTCTCTGGGTATTTCTCAAGCTGCCGGGTCTGGGACTCAAACCATGGAGTTGCCATGTGGGATTTGGCTGTCTTAACCTACATGCCATCTCCTGGCCCCTGCCTAGTCTTTTTATGTAACTTCTGAAAACCAAAGTAGTCCAGTAGGTTTATCTCTCTAATTACCTACTTTAACCACATTTCTGGAGTTAAAGAGTTAATTCGAAACAATCTTCCATTCCCTTAACTTATTGATCAAAGAAAGACATGCATGAAAGTTTCTAGGGTGCCACTGTGCCAGTCACTGAGCTTATCTAATTTTCTACTCACGCCCTATGTATTATTACCCTATTTGAACAGATTACCACACTGAGGCTCAGTTATAGGCTACTATATTCATCTAAAAGAATCACTTTGGCATAGCAGAAGCAAAATGACAGAGCGTGGGCTGACTCAGATTTTGGCTTTGCCACTGTGCAGAAAAAGTTAACATAGCAGGCCTATCTGCTATCCTTTGAAAGGCCTGCTTACAAGATGGGTCCTTGGGTGGTGTTTGGGAACTTGAATTTAGGGAGGGGTCTCACTATCTCAGAACTGCTAAGTGTCTCACTGCCTATCCTCTTAGTACACACAGTATGGTCTATGCTGAAGGCCTGCTCTCCCTCTTGGAGTATGGGATTTGGGCACATACCAGGCTGACGCTGCCTATGTGACCAACCCCTGATAGAAACCGTGGGCACTGCAGCTCTAACAGCTTTCCTTGCTGGAAACATCGTACACATGCTGTCACAACTCACTGCAAGAAGTAAGAGCATCCTGTGTGACTTCAACGGGAGAGGACTCCAGAAGCTTGCACCTGGTCTCCCCTGAATTTTGAATTTTGCCCAAGGTAGCTTCTCCATTTTCTGATTTTAATCTGTGTCCTTTAACTGTAATAAATCTTAGCTGTGAGTCCTATTAGCAAATCAGGGATGGTCTCAGGGACATCCAATAAAGTCATATCATACAGCAGATATTGGTTAGGTTTTCTGAAAGCTGAACATCTTGGAAAATTTTAACCCAACAAGTCCCTGGTCAGAGTAGAAAACTTGCTTCTTAGCCTCTCGAGTACGTAGGGCGCTGTTGACATGACCCAGCTCTGTATCAGATGTACTCACCTGAGACTACACTTGCAATGTTAGCAACTTTAGAAAAGACACGCCTTATGAAATTTTTCCTTCAGGATGGAAGCACCTGACTTTGCAGTGGCATTGGTTTCCTCTAATGCTTGGTGGACCAAAGAAGCCATGACGCTTTCTAAATGATACTGTTTGTCATGTGGTATGGCCACCAATCCTGGAAATTTGGCCTCCAGTCTGGCACTCCACAACTCCCAGGGATTCTGAGGCCACCACAGAACAAACTCCTCCTCTACTTAATCAGCCAGAGTCCAGCTCTACTGCGTGCAACCAACACTGCTCATTTATAGCTATGTGCTTTTGAGCAAGTTGCTTACATTTCTATACCTCTGTTTCCTCTTCCATAAATGAAAAATTACCGTATCTGCTCATTGAGAGGATCAACTAAAGCAACAAAATACATTTAGCACAGTGCCTCAGCATTCAGTATGCATTGGCTCTTGTCACAGGACCAAACTTACCCAGAATTCCTCCTTGCGGCTTCTGACTTTCCCGCCACAGTAACCAGGCTAATGCCTGTTTCTGGTGTAGAAGCAATGGGACCTGACAAATGAAAACCAAGTGTCAGAATAAAGTCCTCGTGAGTGGCTAGACCAGACCCTGGCTACACGTGCCCTACACTCCACTCTTACCGTCTCCAAGTGACCCTCCGACATTCTAGTTGTTACCATATAAGCTGCTCATTTCACCAAATTCTTACTCCCACCCTTAGTCCGCCGGAATTTATGTTTTGGTTTATGTCTAACCTTCCACGTTTCTATTAAAAGCCATCCCTCCTCTCATCCCTACCTGAAGTGAGAGTCCTGGTTTTGTCTAGTTAATCAGTCCACGTCAGTTTCTATGGCTTGCATCCAGGACCTCTGACTGGTCACCCTACTTCCACCAGTCATCTGCTGGCTTTTCCTCATCCTCCCTCCAACTTGACCATCCTATGTGCAGTCAACACCCCAGTGTTCTTTGCTAGTCACAAACTTCAATAGCCCTTTAACTAGAGAGTACTGTCTAGCCATCCAGTTTATCTTGTACTCTATGAGAAAATGAATTTTCCTAAAAACGTCCCTGTTCGAAAATCTACATTAATTCTGTAACGTCTTGGAAACTATTGAAAATTAAGTTCCTTCGCCAGTCCTAGACTCCGCAGCAAGGAGTCCTCCTCCTCAGTGACATCACGTGCTACTCCCAGCTCAGGTACTGATGCCATGTGAACATCACTTATTAACACCATTCCCTCTTCCTGAATGTTGGGACCGGTTTGGCATAAACATTTTTTTTGAGTGGGGAAGGCTGTGGATTAGAAATAGATGCAATAACAAACCCACAAAGACACACACGTAGAAAAGCGAAGGTTGGGTGGGCACAACTTCTCCACCAGAACCAGCCTCAGGTTTATTTTTTTAAAGGGCAGAAAATGGGAGAAGGAGAAAATGGGATGTAAACGAAATAGGGAAGAAGGAAGTAGAATGTAAAGAGAATAGGGGAGGAGAAATCGGAATGTAAAGCCAGTTGGTTTTAGATGTAAATTGTTTGAAGATGTTAAGATGACTGGTGTAATATAATTTTTTTGATTTTTTTTTTGGGGGGAGGACAAATGTATGTGACTTCCTTTAGCCCAATACTGGCCAGTATCGGGGAATTGGGTATTAACAACAGGAAGATAACTATTGACAGCAGGGAGATACTGTTTTTGTATGTAGGTGTTTTTTAATAGCCCTGTTAGAGTAGCTTATGGACGTGCATTTTTGCATGTGTCTACCGGCCCCATGTCTTCATCACATGTTTTAGATTGGCTGCTCTCTACACTGAAGAGTTCGTTTCTATCTTCTCTGCTGTCTCTAGGCTTGTAGCTTCTTATAAGGCACAAAGTGGCAGACGATAAATAACTACTGACCTAGGGAGACTTTTCCCTTATTTTAGATCCCCTTTGTGTTTTGTATACAGTCCACAGTATAACACTCATTTTATCTTTGCCTTAAAGTCATTCTCTGATCGGTTAATATATGTTGGTCTGTACTTCCACTCTTTCATTAGGAGCAACTATTCTTTCACATCTTGTGGTACCAGTCAGAAGTCAATAAATAAATCCTTTACTGCTATAGACTTATGTCTTCATGACTTAAGAATAAAGTGTGTTGACGCTGTTCTGTCTGTCACTGCTAAACATAAAAGGAAGCCACGAAAGCATGTATCTGAAAGGTACGCTGCCGGCCAGTTCACCGTGGTCTTTCTTGAGGGGCACCGGGACACGGCCACAGGACACTCTACCCTGAGTCTTCCTGGCTCACCTTCAATCCAGCTGGATCTTCTGCCACAGCTGTTTCACCAGGTCGTGACTCAAGTGATCGATGCAGCTCATCAATGGCTTCACTTGTGATTTTCCACACTGCGTGAAGGCGATCTTGGTTCGTGTGGCCTGCATACAAACAGTGTCACCTAAGATGTCATAAGTCTGATGTCTTGGCTAGAGCTGCAAAAAGGCAATTTATTATTTGCCAGATGATGACTTTGCATTGAGTAAAAATTCTTGCCTCCAGACTTACCTATCCCCATTCTCCTTTAAGAAAAAAAAAAGTTTATTTATTCTGTGAGTGAGAGAGACAAAGAAAAACAGCACTCCCAACAGGGTTCTGATGTTAGTCCTGGATCATGGGGAAACACATGCCTGGTGTGCTCAGGAGAGTCTCTGGACTTGAACCAGGAACCTTCACATGTAAGACTGTCTAGCAGGGCAAGGAGTTTTACCTCTGCACCACCATCCAGCCCCTCCATTCTCTCTTCTGAATCACAATTATTATAATATGGGACAAAGTAACAAAACATAATGAAAATATCAGATAACTTGCATGTTTGGTAAATTTTTTTCAGCTTTAAAGAGGTGGCAGAGGGGGCCAGCAATAGTGTGGTGGTTGAGTAGTGCTGGACTCCCACATGGTCGATCATAGTTCAAGTCCTGGACCTGGCAGCTTGCTTTCTCACTTTCTCCCTCTCTCACACTCTGTCCCTCTCTGATCAAATTTAAAATAAATAAATACCTAAGTAAGTAAGTAAATAAATAAACAAACCCTGTATGTCTCCTCTCAATATATACCGAATGTCTGCATTCTATGACAGAAACGGAAAGATCTGAAGACATAACAATAGAGAGGACAAGTGCAGATAGTAGATACCAGGGAGTGGGAGTGGATGGTGGCAAACTGGTCAGTGGGAGGGGCTCAGGAAAAAAGCATTTAACAGCATTTAACTTTACAAGAATGTAAAGTTCTTTGTTGAAAACGATGTATATGGTCATATCCTTGATCTGATTATGACGCCCTGTATGCATGCTTTGAAAAACCATATTGTACTCCATAAGGATAAACAACAATTAAATGTAAATAAGAGATTATAAAATCAAATGAAACTAGAAAAAATGTAAAACTACTTTAAAATGGAATTCTTTCTAAAACATATTACATACCTTTTTTTTAAACCTTAATATAAGCAACACACTTCCTTTTTTTTTTTTGAGAGGTTTTTGCTATAGGGCGCGTGTGCTCACCAGAAAGACAGAGAGAGACAGAGAGATAGAAAGCGAGAAATCACCCCCCCCTGGGGGGGATGGTCACGCCGCAATCCCTTCTCCTCCATTCTCCTCTTGGGATCTTGGGCACGCATGCACACACACTCAGCATGAGTTTAAGCCACCAGGTCCTGGACTTGAACCGCAGTCGACTACATGGGAGTTCAGCGAAATAGCTATTATGCTAACTGCTGGTCCCTATAAGCAACACACTTTAATTGCGCTTTGGGTGACTTAGTCACCACTGGGTTTACAAAACGCAGAGGCAGTGACATGGCAATGCTCCCCAAAAGCCTCCTGAGCAGCCAAGACTGTTCTGCTACTTAAATGAGTTTGTGTTCTCTTTTCCATTTTGGAGTGATCTTAGCTTCAAAAAGGACCAAGTCTGGGGGACCAGCAGTTAGCGTAATGGCTATGTCGCTGGACTTCCACATAGTCGACTGTGGTTCGCGTCCTGGACCCGGTGGCTTAAAACTCACGCCAGGCGTTTGTGTATGTGTGCCCAAGATCCCGAGAGGAGAATGGAGGAGAAGGGATTGTGGCGTGACCATCCCCCCTGGGGAGTGATTTCTCGCTTTCTGTCTCTATGTCTCTCTCTGTCTGTCTGGCGAGCGCACGCGCCCTATAGTGAAAACCTCTCAAAAAAAAAAAAGACTGAGTCTATTCCTTAACTCCCTGTAATTACTGCTCTTCAGCATTCTCCACCTCTAGCAGTTCTCATCTGGGAGAAAACTGGCTTTGGCTATTCTAGTTGGTGCCAACCTACCAGAGCTCCTATTTCCTGACCAGCAAACTGACCAATCACATGACACAGGTAAGGCTCTGACTGGGATCTTCATACCAGTTACTCCTGATTTCAAACCTGTCTGGGAAGTTCAGATAAAAATATCTAGCTAAATAGGTGTTACTGCTTCCTGCGAGTCTCTGAGTCTTCACTCAAGTTGACCTATCTACCTCATAATACCATGAGCTAGAATTTTCCTTCACAAACTCTGTTTGACTCTTCCATGCTGGCCACTGGACTGATTGATCATCATTAATGGTAAACGAAGAGTCTAGTCTCTGGCCTCACAGAGAGCTAAGTGGCCTTGTGAAAGCTCTCCTGAGTCTCACAATCTTCACTATATTACAAGTCAAGAATGACTTCTCCTTTTAGGAGGCAGCACTTAACTCCTAGGGACAGCTATTTAAGCAGGGCCAGGCTGTAGATCTTACCTCCATAGCACTGACTGAATCCTCTAGCAGCTTCCTGGCAGGCAGACACGGGCTGCCAATCATGACCTGGAAGGGGTTGTGGAGGCACGAGGTGGGGAGGGTCACTGGCACTTTTAGTTAAGTTTCTCTGTTGTGGTATTTGAGTGTCACTCTTCTCTTTCATTTCTGTTCAAGAAACAAGCAAAGAACAGATTAAAGTTCAGAGAATTGAAGAGACTATATATGTGAAAGTGAGGTCAGGAGACAGTGGAATCATCTCCATTCCAATAAGCTGGAAAGGCTTCCTAGAGAACATAGGATTTTTAACAGGTGCTTAAACAATGGGTAAGAATTTAAATTGTAAGAAATAGAAAACTTTTACAAATCATAAGCATAATTAAAAAGAAAACTCAGAAGCAGATAATAAAATGGAAACATGAATTAATCAACGCATTACCAAAATGGCTTCCCAATGTCTCTTATAAAGTTCACACCAGGAGCCAGATGATAGTGCAGCAGTAGTACAACTGAACCTACACGGAAAGATCACAGGTTCAAATCCTGGGGCATCTCTGTATATAACAGGCACCTGTAGGCCTGTATTCAGGCTGACTGAGGTTGGGGTAGGCTGTGTTGTAAAGATCATTTTAGGGGTGCCCATCTCTCTCTCTCTCTCATGAAAGGAATACATAAATAAACTTAAAATGAAAAGCCTTACACAAACCCCGAGTTCTGGAATATAACCGTTTACCTTGCTCTGGGGAGATGGCGAGAGTACTAAGTGCTTCCTCCAACCCCTGGATTTGCTTGAGCAACTTCTGACCCTTGTCTGGAAGAGCCTGGGTGTTCACTGACGCCAATATGCCCTGAAAAAACAGATCTTCCAAAATGGATCCCTCTTCTCAAGTTGTTAGAAGGACAATTTCAGATTAAAATCACCTAAAATGCCAAAACTCTGAAATTATAATCTTTTAACTATGTGTTCAAAAACTGCAATTTTTTTGTAAACCCAGCTGGCTTATCAATCCTACAAACATGGAGAAAGGCAGGAACTAAACATTCACCTATAAAACCTTCACATGAACATGTTATTCTTCTACAGGGGTCTCAGCCCTGCCCAAAGCAAGCACTGCTCTGACCTTAAAACCAAACCCAAGTCCCCAGTTACCTTCTTTTGTTTCAGTTGGGTGGTGAGGAAAGCACGTTGGGCTGCTGGGTCTGATGGTTCTGTCCTCTTCGAAATACTTGGGGCGGGAGATATTTGTCTTTGTACACTTTGATCAGGGAATTGTAGGTTCTTCTGTGAATCCACAGTCAAGTCAAAGAGTAGGGGGCTGCTGGACTTAGAGGAAGCTACATCATCATCTTCCTCACTATCATCGCTGATTACGGTAGCTTCACTCCCCTCTCCCAGGGAAAGCACTGGAGCTGCTGGTGCAGCCTGGGCCACGGGTCCTACAGGGACAGACACATCACAAGTCTCCAGGGACACCTTGAAATGCCCCTGTGGCAGCCTTTTTGGGATGGACTGCGGTTTTGGGTCACCCTTTGCCTTTGGTTCTTTGGCCTCCTGGTTCTTGAGGGGCTCCCTGCTGTGCTGTCCCCTGTTCTGGGGCTTGCTTACTGAGTTCTGACTGTGAACATTTCGAGGCAAAAGCTGGGTTTCCTTTTCTCTCAGAGGTTCTGATTCTTTTCGGGCATCTTGAATTTTCTGATTTGATCGCTCCTGATGAGATGCAGGTGGTCTTCTCAGCTCGTTATCATGATGCTGGGTGGGTTTAATTTCAGAAAAGTTCCTTTTATGTGTGTCTCCAGGCTCCTTGGCTTCACACTGAAGCTCTGTCCTCCTCACTTGCTTCTTCTCTTGAACTACATGCTGATTCTTCTTTATTACCAGGCCAGATGATGGCTCTTTGTCCAACCCACGGTTAGATTCAGGCTTCTGTACCTTCTTCTGGTCAAAGAGCTGGTCTCCTTTTTCCCTTGGCTTCTTATCAGACATCTTTTGCTCACCTTCACCTTTGATAAACTGCTTCCAGAGAACTGGTTCTTGATTCTTATCAAGTACCTTGAATGGGTTTCTCTGCTGGCTGGAAAGATGATGAAATGACTCAGATGCATGCTGAGACTTACTGGTTACAGAATGTTCTTTGAAATTAGGATCCTAAAAACAATTAAAATAATTAATCTCAGTAAAATATTAATATAACCTTCATATCTAGAATGCCTTGTTTCAGAGGAAATGGGAACTCATCAAAAGCAGCCCAATATTTCTGAACATTACTAGGATCATTTCTGCATCTAGAAAAGACGATATGCCAAAACTCACAAAGTATTAGTTTCTTAACAATATTTTCAGTGCTTGGTTCTTTCTCTGTTCATGATCATACTTTTCCAGGACTCAAGGGATAGTTCCTAAGCCAAGGTGCTTTTAAATCACAATAGCTGCAATGTGTACCTCTCACTATATTTTAAAAAATTTGATAGAAGGAAAAAAAAGTTTAAAAAAGGGAACTGTAGTTACTGTAATGGCTGTGTCACTGGACTCCCATGTAGTCGACCGTGGTTCGAGTCCTGGGCCCAGTGGCTTAAACTCACGCCAGGCGCATGTGTGTGTGTGCCCCAGATCCCAAGAAGAGAATGGAGGAGAAGGGATTGGGGCATCTCCCCTCTGGGGGTGATTTCTCGCTTTCTGTCTCTCTGTTTCTCTCTCTTTCTGGAGAGCACACACGCCCTATAGCAAAAACCTCTCCAAAAAAAAAAAAATGATAGAAGGCATGTGCACTCACCAGAAAGACACAGAGTGGGGAAAAATGAGAAAGCCTCCCCTCATGGGGCATGGTCACACAATCCCTTCTCCATTTCTCCTTTGGGAGAAATTCTTGGGATTTTGAGCATGCACGCACATGCACTCAAAGTCACCTGAGATCCAGCCATCGTATCTACTATGCCACCAATCGGCGCAGCATCCTCTTACATGAACTTTTCTCCAAACCTAAATAAATACTGTCCTACTATGCCTGCTTTGATGTTCGGCCTTAGGAAGGTTTCACTGTAGGAATGTAGCATTGGGAGTTAAAGCTGAATCTCTAACAAAACAAGCCTTGGCGCTTTCCCTGGGCCTAGCTCCTCACACACTGGGTATCTGTACGGCTTACCTAGTGCCAACGCTCGATGAGTTTATGAATTACACTTAGCTTACACCAATATCAAGCAGATACTGATCTATAAAATGATGCAGAAGTTAGTCAAGGAAAACTAATTTCTCCCTAAACAGGAGAACACTGACTGCATCTAAGACTTTGAAAAATATTTATGTGAAACAGGAGGCAAATAAATTAAATCCTGAATACAATCAAATGGTCATTTGAGTTTCTATCAGGATCTATCTTGCTTAAAGCAAAGAACTGTCTTTCAGAGTCTGATGAAGACCAACCAGTTTTGGGGGAGTTTGAGGTCTTTTCAGGTGATGTCACATATTAAACAGTCTTAACACAGCAGTCAAACATAGATGTTTGAAAACGGACGACTAATTCCTACCTGCCACGGGACACTTCCACACCAGTGCTTCCCCTCTGCCTTACTTCTACTGCATCGGAAGAACAATCTGATGAAATGTAAAACACAATCGAGGTTGTGAGAATCCATTACAACAGCAGTTAAGTTTGTTTTTAATCCATGAAAACACCTTGCAACTATTTGATATTGGTTTTGAGGGTCACATGAAATAATTACTCATTTTTATTTGTGTGCATAGGTTTTTAAAAAAAATTTTAAAGAGATTTTTTTGTTATAGGGTCCGAGAGCTCTCCAGAGACACAGACAGGAAGAGACAGACAAAGTGAGAAATCACTCCTCAGGGGTTGCCCACACCACAATCCCTTCTCCATTCTCCTCTCAGGATTTTGAGCATGCATGCACATGCACCTTGAGTGAGTCGGAGGCTACCAGGTCGGGAGTCAACTGCAGTTGACTATATGGGAGTCCAGCACCTTAACCACTATACCACCTGCTAGCTCCCTGGGTGGGTAGATGTTTCTTAGACAGGGCCTCAGGGGTCTCGGAATTCCTCAATCTTCCTTGCCTCAGTCTCCTGAAGAGCTGTGACCACAGGCTCACAACACCATGCCTAGCTCTTCAGGGTGGGCCGAGAATCTAATTTAGGTCTCCCATGTGGCCTCAGCCTGCCAAGCAGCAGTATACATTATGGCTGCCGTGGCTGAGCTGAAGCCAACTACTTTGATGCCCACATGAAAAAATTCTTCACTATTCAGGACATTTATAGGGGCTAAGGAGTCAAAGAATAAAAGACATCAGGGTAAGCAGAGAATATCAATAAATATTTATTCTTTTTACTCTTTAAAAATGATGGAAATAATACACTGATCAGCAATGGCTGTTAAATCAGAAAAAATAGCAATAACCAGACATTGTGTGCCCTGCAGAGAGGCCACAATATTACCTATAAAGTAATCTGGCAAAAATAACAAAGAAGGGGCCAGCAGATGGTGTGATGATTAAAGGTGCTGTACTCCCACATGGCCAACCACGGTTCGAGTCCTGATCTGGGGCTTGCTTTCTAACTTTCCCTCTCTCTCTCTCTGCCCCTCTCTAGTCAAATAAAAATAAATAAATGAAACAAAGAAAAACCACCTAAGCCAAACCAAACCCTAACTCAAACCTGATCGGAACTCTAGATTTAATATCCAATTTATAGGAAGTCCAAATAGAGGAGCGCATAAAACTAGACCGTGGGGATGTAATCTGCAAAATCTTGACAGTGGGAAGTGCTGTGGGACAATCTGATTCCTTCAACAGTGAAATTACAAGGCATAAGAGAAGATGGAGGGATGGGCCAGCAGATGGCATAGCAGATACGTTGCTGAAGTCTCACAGGGCCAACTGAGGTTAAGGCCCAGACCTGGTGGCTTGAAAATCATGCCAGGCATGTGTGTGTGCATGCCCAAGATCCCAGGAAGCGAATGGAGAAGGGACTGCAGTATGGCTATCCCCCCGAGGGATGATTTCTCACTTTCCCTCTCACTGTCTCTGTTTCTCTCTCTCTCAGGTGAACAAAAGTGCCCTAAGGCAAAAACATCTTAAAAAAAAAAAAAAGAGAGAGAGAGAGAAGATGGAAGGGAAACTTAGGAGACAAAAGACAGATGGTGTAGCAGTAATATTGCACAATGCTGAACCCAGACAGAGGGTCCCAGTTTCACATCCCAGAGTTTCCTGTCCATGCTGGGTGTGCATGTGTTTAACTGTGATCCAGGCTGGCTGAGGCTGGGGGTGGACTGGGACATGAGGGCCCTATTTGAGGTGCCCCCCCCGCCCATCTCTGATAGGAAAATAAACTTTAAACAAAAAAGACACACTAACCAAATTGATTCAGATTTGTGGACCTTATTTGGATCCTGATTTAAACAGGTAAATTTTGGGGGGGAGGGAGAGGTTTTTGCTATAGGGTGCGTGTATTCGCCAGAAAGACGAGAAACAGAAGTGAGAAACCACCCCCAATGGGGTTGGCCACGCCACAATCCCTTCTCCTCTTGGGATCTTGGGTACTCATGCACATGCGCCTGGCTTGAATTTAAGCCACCAGATCTGGAACTTGAACCGTGGCTGACTACATGGGAGTCCAGCAACATAGCCATTACGCCAACTGCTGGTCCCTAAACAGATCATTTAAAAAACAAAAAGCTGTTTATGACATTTATGGATCTACTAGAAATTTGTATACCAAGTGGCATACACATTTAAAAAGAGTCCACATCTTTTAGAGTAAATATTAAAATATTTATAGAGGAAATGACGTTATCTGAGACTTCTTTCAAAACACAGCAAGAGGCAAGGTGGGGGGTGAAATGGGCAAGGTATATACAGAACAAGATTAATCATGAGTTGGCAACTGTTGAAGCATGTGTGCTGTATTATCCTGTCCTCTCTACTTCTGTATGTATTTACAATCTCTTCCTTAAAAAGAAAAAAGAAAGGCCCAGCCTGGTGGCACAGTAGACAGCAAAGTGAACTGCAGTGCTGTAAACCACAGGCATCAGGGTAAGCAGAGAATATCAATAAATATTTATTCTTTTTACTCTTTAAAAATGATGGAAATAATACACTGATCAGCAATGGCTGTTAAATCAGAAAAAATAGCAATAACCAGACATTGTGTGCCCTGCAGAGAGGCCACAATATTACCTATAAAGTAATCTGGCAAAAATAACAAAGAAGGGGCCAGCAGATGGTGTGATGATTAAAGGTGCTGTACTCCCACATGGCCAACCACGGTTCGAGTCCTGATCTGGGGCTTGCTTTCTAACTTTCCCTCTCTCTCTCTCTGCCCCTCTCTAGTCAAATAAAAATAAATAAATGAAACAAAGAAAAACCACCTAAGCCAAACCAAACCCTAACTCAAACCTGATCGGAACTCTAGATTTAATATCCAATTTATAGGAAGTCCAAATAGAGGAGCGCATAAAACTAGACCGTGGGGATGTAATCTGCAAAATCTTGACAGTGGGAAGTGCTGTGGGACAATCTGATTCCTTCAACAGTGAAATTACAAGGCATAAGAGAAGATGGAGGGATGGGCCAGCAGATGGCATAGCAGATACGTTGCTGAAGTCTCACAGGGCCAACTGAGGTTAAGGCCCAGACCTGGTGGCTTGAAAATCATGCCAGGCATGTGTGTGTGCATGCCCAAGATCCCAGGAAGCGAATGGAGAAGGGACTGCAGTATGGCTATCCCCCCGAGGGATGATTTCTCACTTTCCCTCTCACTGTCTCTGTTTCTCTCTCTCTCAGGTGAGCAAAAGTGCCCTAAGGCAAAAACATCTTAAAAAAAAAAAAAAAAGAGAGAGAGAGAAGATGGAAGGGAAACTTAGGAGACAAAAGACAGATGGTGTAGCAGTAATATTGCACAATGCTGAACCCAGACAGAGGGTCCCAGTTTCACATCCCAGAGTTTCCTGTCCATGCTGGGTGTGCATGTGTTTAACTGTGATCCAGGCTGGCTGAGGCTGGGGGTGGACTGGGACATGAGGGCCCTATTTGAGGTGCCCCCCCCGCCCATCTCTGATAGGAAAATAAACTTTAAACAAAAAAGACACACTAACCAAATTGATTCAGATTTGTGGACCTTATTTGGATCCTGATTTAAACAGGTAAATTTTGGGGGGGAGGGAGAGGTTTTTGCTATAGGGTGCGTGTATTCGCCAGAAAGACGAGAAACAGAAGTGAGAAACCACCCCCAATGGGGTTGGCCACGCCACAATCCCTTCTCCTCTTGGGATCTTGGGTACTCATGCACATGCGCCTGGCTTGAATTTAAGCCACCAGATCTGGAACTTGACCCGTGGCTGACTACATGGGAGTCCAGCAACATAGCCATTACGCCAACTGCTGGTCCCTAAACAGATCATTTAAAAAACAAAAAGTTGTTTATGACATTTATGGATCTACTAGAAATTTGTATACCAAGTGGCATACACATTTAAAAAGAGTCCACATCTTTTAGAGTAAATATTAAAATATTTATAGAGGAAATGACGTTATCTGAGACTTCTTTCAAAACACAGCAAGAGGCAAGGTGGGGGGTGAAATGGGCAAGGTATATACAGAACAAGATTAATCATGAGTTGGCAACTGTTGAAGCATGTGTGCTGTATTATCCTGTCCTCTCTACTTCTGTATGTATTTACAATCTCTTCCTTAAAAAGAAAAAAGAAAGGCCCAGCCTGGTGGCACAGTAGACAGCAAAGTGAACTGCAGTGCTGTAAACCACAGGGCTGACAGCAGGTGTAGAGACCCAGGTGGGCTGGAAAACACTCCGGGTATGTGTCTTGAGGTCCAAGAGCCTGAAGAGAGCTTGAGGACTGAAGAAAGCGTATCAAGGCATGACAAGGCTTTGGGAAGGGTACTTTTCCCTCTCTCATTCATGTTATCATGAATAAAATAAGTATACTTAAAAAATAAAAAGACTGGGAACCAGCAGTTAGCGTAATGGCTATGTCACTGGACTCCCACATAGTCGACTGCGGTTCGTGTCCCGGACCCGGTGGCTTAAAACTCACGCCGGGCGCGTGTGTGTGCGTGCCCAAGATCCCAAGAGGAGAATGGAGAAGGGATTGCGGTGTGACCATCCCCCCTGGGGGGTGATTTCTCGCTTTCTGTCTCTATGTCTCTCTGTCTGTCTGGCGAGCGCATGCGCCCTACTATGAAAATCTCTCAAAAAAAAAAAAATAAAAATAAAAAAATAAAAAGACTGATACAGCTTTAACACACCTGTGCAAAACAGTCCCTGCACAAACACAGCCCATCTTCCAGGTATACCAGAGATGGCTACGTCATCTTGTTCTCTAAATAAACCATGCACTCTCCAGCTCACCAGACTTTGAGTCTGAGAACACCCCTCTCCACCCAAAGGAGATCTTCTTCATCCCTATTTATCCACCATCTCCCCATCTCCAGCTGTTGAAGTCCCACTGGTCCCTCCAGGTTTAGTTTAATTCATACCTTCTTTGCAAGGTTTTCCCACATACCCTTCACTGTTCATCCACTGAACTGCTTTTGTAGTTTTGCTGTATTGTTATACTTCAGAAGAGGCCTACTGGCCCAACTCTACTTTCAGCAACTAGAGAGTGATAACCATATTATAATCTTTTTATTCCCAACTATGCCTTGCCTTTTGTATATAATCATTAAGTATTGCAGAATAAAACAGACCTGACTTTTTTATTTCCTAAAGCAACTCCTTGAAAACTTTTATAAATAAAATATATAAATTAAGGTTTTATTTGTTTGTTTTTGCCATACAGTGTGTGTGCTCACCAGAGAAAGAGAGAGAGAGAGAAAGAGATGGGGAGGGGAGTGAGAAATCATCCCCTGGGGGGATGGCCATGCTGTAATCCCTTCTCCTGGGATTTTGGGTACACATACGCCTAGCGTGATTTTCAAGCCACCAGGTCTGGGACTTGAGCCTCAGTTGGCCTTGTGGTAGTCCAGTGCCCTAACCACTATACCCCCTGCTAATCCTGTAAAATACATATTGTTGAGGTGGTGAGGTACTCAATCAAAAAGTTCTGTCCCACTGGTCTATGAATCTTATTCTTCTGCCAGTACTGTGCTGTTTTTATTACTATTACTTTATAGTGCATTTGGAAATCTGCTCAAGATAGCTTTGGCTGTTCAAGGCCTTTTGTGATCCCATACAAATTTTATGATTTTTTTTCTATTTTTGGAGGAATGTCATTGGTGTTTTGATAAGTATCACATTCAATCTGTGGACCACTTTTAGCACTATAGGTTTTTTTTAACAATATTGATTTATCCAGCCCATGCACAAATCCTTGGTTTTTTTATTGCCTGTGCACAGAGGTCCTTGGTTGAAGGGCCAGTCAAATGCTACTGAGCGGTACCATCTGCTGTTTAAGTTAGAGAACTACACACAAACACAGCTAGAGTGCAAGGCATGGAAAATGGACGTCCAAACCTCAGTTTATACCTCTCTTCCATTACTCTGCTGCACCTGTGTCCTCGCTAAGTTAAGTTAAACATAATTAAAGAGTGTAAAATACTTAAGTTTCCAAAAAGAAAACCCAGTTTGCAGAAGAAAAGGCTGTATTCCTCAAGATCATTCTCCAGAGTTCAGGGACTCTGGCTGAACACCCCTACTGCCTGCTAAGAAAGCCAACAACCACAGGCTTCTCTATTTCTGTTCAAATTTCCAGCCTGCACCCTATCAGAGTACCTGTTTTCCTTTTTTTTAATTGTTGTTTCTGTTGTATGTTAAGTACTGTATTTTATTTGTCCTTAAGCTTTTTTAAGTTCAAGTAAGTACCTCTTAGTGCTCTAGATTTGAGCTAAAATAAGTTTTCTGTCTTAAAATAATAACCTCTCAGCATCTTCTACCTAGCATAAAGCATGTTAATGACAAGTTCTCAAAATCCTGTCTTCAACCTAGACATTTCTTCAGAGCTGTACATCATTTCTAGCTGGTTTCACATACACTTTGCCCAAAGCCATTTGTGTAAACCCCACACCTCAGTCCTTTACTGATCATAGCTTTTCATAAATTGATCTACACAGATTCAATGATCCCAACTGGGTTTTCAGTGGAAATTTTAAAAGTTGATTCCATATTTTATATGGAAATGTAAAGATCCTAGAACAGCCAACACAGTCTTGAAAAAGCATAGTCAGAAGAGTCACACTATTTTATCTGATTAATTATGTAAGGATAGGCAAATAGATCAATGGAACAGGGTAGTAATCCCAGAAATAGACTCACGCATGGAAGATCAATTGAGTTTTTTTTTAAAAGATGCCAAGTATTTCAATGGGGAAAGAAAAAATCTTTAAAGCGTGATGCCAAGGCAATTGGATAACATAGTAAAAGAAAAATAAATTAAACTCCATCCTATTTCATACAGTATACAAAATTAATTAGAAGATAACAGACCTAAATGAAAAGGTTATTTAAAAAAAAAGAAAGAAAGAAAGAAAAAAGAAAGTTATAAAGCTTCCAGAAGACCCACTGGAGATACTTGTGATCTTGGGCTAGGCAAAGATTTCTCAGAGAGAAGACAAAAAGTACAAAAGGCATGAAAAAATGGTAAGTTGGACCTTATAAAAATTAAAAATTTGGAGCAGCAGGAGGTGTGGTGGTTATGGGGCTAGATTCCACGGTTAGAGTTCTAGACTGATAGTTGAAAATCACACAGATATGTACGCATGTTTGCTCAAAATCCCAAGAGGAGAATGGAGAAAGGATTACGATGTGGCCGTTCCTCTCTCCCTGCCCCTGGGAGGGGTTAATTGTTCAGTTTCTCTCTCTCTCTGTTTCTCTGTCTCTCTCCAGTGAGCACATGTACCCTATGTACCCAAAAAAGATTTTTTTAATTTTAAAATAAGAACTTTTGCTTTTCAAAAACCAGCTACTGGCTGGCCACCACAACCACTTTAGCCTAATGGTTAAGGGAGCCAGGTTCCATAGGACAGACCATGTTTCAAATCCCAGCTCCTGTGGCTTAAAAAACACATGTGTCCAAAATTCTGACAGGATGGGGAACTGGAGGAAAGGGATAACAGTGTGACCATGCCCTACTGGGAGGTGGTTTCTTTCTCTGGCAAGTACATATACCCTCTAACCATTGGGGAAAAAAAGGTTAAGAAAATGAAAATCACAAACTGGAAGAAAATATTCACAATACAAATATCTGCCAAATAACTTATCAAGTTACACTGTATGATTCTATTTATGTGATAATTGCAAAATGAAAATAATTTTAGAAATGGAGAACAGAATCATGATTGCCAGAGGAGGGGAGGCAGATAGGGAGGGAGATGACTGTCCGAAAAGGACAGTAGAAGGGGTCTTGTGTTGACCCAACTTATTTAACATCTTGACTGTGCTAGCAGACACATAAATGTATGCAATTTATATAACTTTATATAAAATTGTATAAAATTAAATACATACATGCACACATACTAGATTAGTATAAGCAAAACTATCTTGGGACCAGCAGATGGCATAATGGTTATGTCACTAGACTCCCATGTAGTTGACTGCATATCAAGTTCTGGACCCAGTGGCTTAAAACTCATGACAGGTGAGTGAGTGTGTGTGAGTACCCAAGATTCCCCAAGAGGAGAATGGAGGAGAAGGGATTGCAGTGTGGCCAAATCCCCTCGGAGATGATTTCTCACTTTCTGTCTCTCAGAGAGTGCAAGTGTCCTATAGCAAAAATCTCTCAAAAACAAAGAAACAAACAAACAAAAAAACCCACAATCTTTACCAATAAGATAAGTGGACTATAACAATACGTGTCCTTTTTGTGATATTACACTAAGTTTCACAAATGTTGTCACTGGGGAACCGTGGTAAAGTTTACAGGGACTATCCACAGTATTCCTTACAACTATATGTAAATCTAAAATTGCTCGATAAAAATTTTAATTAAGGAGTCAATAGGTAGCCTAGTGGTTGAGGTACTGAACTCCTACATGGCTGACTGCAGTTTGAGTCCTGGATGCAGCAGCCTGAAACTCACACTGGGTGCATGTACATGCATGCCCAAAATTCTGAGAGGAGAATGGAGGAAAAGGGATTATAGTGTGGCCATCCCCCTCTGGGGGAGGGTGTGATTTCTTGCTTTCTCCTTGGTAAGCACATGCACCCTCTAGCAAAAATCTCTTTTAAAAAATCAATTAAAAAAAAATGGGCAAAAGGTTTAAATGGATACTTAACTAAAGATTATCCAATGGCAAATAAGCACATGAAATAAACAGTAGTACATTTATAAATGGAATTCAATTCAGCAGTAGACATTAAATAAAAGAAGTCAGACACAAATGCGTAAATGTAGGATTTCATGTATATGAAGTTCAAGAACAAGTAACACAAATCTAAGTGATACAAATCAAAACTAGTTGCTGATGACAGGGATGAGAGAGGTGGGATTAACTGGAAGAGGTCCGATGGCACTTACTAGGGTGATGTTTAGACTTGGATCTTGGTTGTACACATGGGCATATAGATTTCCCAAAACTCAACTGGCTGAACTCTTAAGATCTGTGCACCTTTCTATATGCGTAACTCAACTAAGAAGAGTAGTGCAGGCAGTACTCGGCTATGTAAAAATTATGAAGATAGTACTCAGATACCTTTATTTTGAGTGGGTGGATGAAGCATCTCGGCCCGTACCTTTCTGGCCAGTTTTCTCTCCTGAAGTCTCCAATTAAACATATGCTAAACTATTACTAAATTATATGCTTGCAATTCCTTGAAAACACCATGATACTTCATCCTTCAGCACCCTAATGCAATGTATTTGTCCATTAAATGTGACTTCTTTCTAACACTTAGTGAATTCCTACTTTTCTTTCAATATTTATGATAAATATTATCTCCCACCTATTAATACTTTCATACCCTTCTCAAATTCCCATCTAAAAGAATCTGGGGAAAATTATAAAAGGAAACTAATATTTATTGAATACTTAACATTTAGAAATGTCTGTGCATTATCTCATTCTATTTCCAGAATTAGAAAGTTGATGAGTGCCAATCATGAACAACTAGTGGGCTAATATTGGCTATATGAGAGGTGGAGAGTTGGAGAGGGATGGCAGTGGAGCTGTTTACCTGAAAATTAACCATAGGTCAGGCTGCCTGGATTATCTGGTTACTCAGCAGTTAGGGAGCAGAGGCCCAAAAGATACTCAATACTTAACATAAATACCATGCACTTTTAAAATAATGACTTTTAAAGAAAGATCCTAAAACACTCCTGTCTGCAAATCTTGCAGGATGCTGGGGAACAAGTACAGTACATTTGGGTGTTCCCTTTGACACTTACCTGTATTCTTTCTTGTCCTGTGGTGGGAGCAAACCCTGAAGCTCTACCACAAAATCCTCATGCAATAGACAATGAGAAACAGGAATACTAGGGGGAAAAATGGAAAACATTTTGTTTTAGCAGGCAAGAAACAAAGGCTGACAACCTAAGCTCAAAGGAAAATGACAGGTTTTAAACCAAGAGCCTATGTATGACCTTCCCCGAGTTTGCCTATCCTGTACGTTGTATTATCCATGTGAATTTATTTGGGGAAGGGTCTACAGCTTTTATCTTACTGCACTCCACCAAGTGAAGCATGACAATATATTGTTCTTGATGACTCAAAGGTTTAAAACTGCACTGTGCTATGTGACCTCCGTGTGAGAGCCCTAGGAACGAATGAAGGATTTAAGGCTGGCTCAGAGGCCCTACATGAATTTCCCCCAGGTTCTTCGGTTAGTTACCTTTCTCATAACCTTTACCTACCACAGTGTTACCCACACACCTACATCTAACAATGCACCTGATTAATTTGGTTCTTGTTTAAGTGTTTTAAACACTCCCTCCCAATTTCTTACTATGAAAAAATGTAAATATATGTAACATCTGAGAGTAAACAGGTTTGAATGGAGATTTAAAGAACTTTCCTATACTTGCGGCACTTTTCTTGGTCTGTATTCTGGTTGTCAGACACATCTCAAGTATTATTGAACTAGTTTGCAAAACAGTACATTTGTATGGGACTCCATATAAAAGCATGTTTCTCATAATGTAACTGAGTCTTATGTCACAATTAATGCTTAATTCCTGGGAACACTGATATTCTCACATTTCCCCAAACTTGACCTGGATACTGAATCTAAGCAGCTCAATAAATTTAGAAGCCAGAGGTAAATAGTAAACCCTGATGTAATGATATTGTTGATTTAATAGCTTGAGTATTTCTGACAGGTCCCTTCTATTTTAGATTTGGGAGACCAGCAAATGGAATAATGGTTACATTACTGGACTCCCACATGCCAAACGCAGTTTGAGTCCTGGATCCAGAGGCTTAAAACTCATGCCAGGCACATGTGTGTGCATGCCCAAAGTCCCAAGAGAATGGAGAAGGGACTGCAGTGTGGCCATCCCCCAGACTCCCAAGTGATTTCTTGCTTTCTGTCTCTCTGGCAAGCACATGTACCCTATAGAAAAAACTCAAAAAAAAAAAATTGGTACTGCTTTACTCAAAATCATTTTGTATTTAATTCAACTGGATCTCAGTAATCTCTAATTAAAAAATAAATACTTAAAGGGATTTAAAATTTTTTGTGAAAATGGATTTTCTATATCTGAAAAAGGATGAGGTCTTTTACTTAAATCCAAAACAAAACAAAGATATCAATCTCTAATTCATGAAAGGGAAACATAAGTTACTATACATGTTGAAAGGATACTTTTATTTTCTACAACTGATATCTATTACATACTTTACAAATGATACAGAGGGAAAAAAATTTCTCTACCAACTTCAGCTGCACAGAGAACAAGAAATATGTTTAAGGTAGTGCTCATTTTAAATTCACACAGAAAATTTACCTAGTACTGAGAAAACATTAACATTTGTTAAGGAATAGTATTAACTTGGGACCAGTAGATGGCATAATGGCTATGTCGCTGGACTCTCATATGGCTTAAACTCACACCAGGCGCATGTGCATGTGTGCCCAAGATCTGGAGAGGAGAATGGAGGAGAAGGGTTTGATATTTCTCGGTTTCTGTCTGTCTTGCTCTTTGTTTCTGGTGAACACATGCACCCTATAGCAAAAACCTCTCAAAAAAAAAAGAGAATAGTATTAACTTTTTCCTTTAGACAAGATGCTTAACATTTCTGGGTTTCAGCATTTCAAGTCTATAAAACCAAATAGCTGAGTCAAACTTCTGATGTTTCTTTCAAGAATACTAATATCTAAAGCAAAATATTTCTTTGGACTATCAATCTATTTAGATACAGAGAATCATTTAAAAAGCGGGAAGGTGGCTGACAATCTACCAGTGTTTTTCATCTCAAACATTTAAAAACAAGTCGGCACTAAGAATAATGCAAAAGAAGGACAAATTATTTTCTATAATGACTCATGTCCGTCCTCACTTCTTGCAAGGTGGGGTGGGGCTGTCCCAACAGGAAAAAGGAGTGGTTAAGGATAACGGCTGTGAAAACCGAGAAGGATCCTGATGTAGCAGGATTCTCCTTTTATACGTAGTGGAATATTCAGCCCAAAGAGGGAAGTAACACAGCCGGAGTCAGCGAAGCGTCCAAGTATTACCAACTGCTTAAAGGGTCCTGGGGCACCGCGGACCAGGGGCCCCACCACTCCTCGTCCCTGCGGTGCCGGACGGCGGGGAGCCCGCTGTTCCTCCGAGGACACCCTGGGCGGTTAGAGTAACGAGCTCGGCTCAAAACCTACTCGATGGCCCGCACGAAGCCGCACGTGTCTGCCCGGCACACATAGAAGCTCTTTCCTTTATTCGGACCTTCGCGGACTCCGGTCTTCAGAAAGCAGAGAGTCCCTGAGAAAAGATGAAGTTCAACAACGATTACGCCACGCTACGTGGACAGGTCCCAGGGAACCCTAAGACCCTAGCTCCGTACCATGCTCGGGACACCTAACCACTTCCATCGCGCTCCTGCTCCGGTCCTCCGCGAAGCCCCGCCCCCAACTCGGGCTTCCGCCTTTCAGTCCGCCCGCCCCCTTCAGGAGCCAATCATCGTTCAATAGTCTTTCCCTCCCGACGTTCTCTCTAGCCATTATCAGCCAATCCTATAGGACGTTTGCTTCGCTTCCACCAATCACAGCCGTCCTCAGGCTTGACGCGCGCCGAAATCAAATATGAAGCGAGGGGGCGTAGAAGGCTTGGCACTGGCCGACCAAGGCAGGGCTGAGGCTGTGGATGATTAGAGACTGGAAGGGCTGTGATGTGCAGGGCCTGAAGAGCGTTCGACAGTGATACAGAGGCGACCCTAGTTTACACCAAACCAAATGGCTGCCCTGGAGGTAGCGCTAGTTATGAGCTGCCGAGCGCTCGCAGCTCCGCGGTGGTCTCAGAGCTGCGCCTGCGGCGGGCGCTCGGGCTTTGTGCTTGTCAGTGGGGATGGAGAGATCTGGGAAAGCTACCCCCGCGGGCGGAGCCACTGCGTTTGCGGTGCTGGAGCGGCGGCAGCGGGCGTAAAGGAGGTGTCCTTTAAAGCTGCCGCGGAGAATGGAAAATTTGAGGTAGAGCTGGCGTAAAAACGTCTCCAGGATTCGCATCAATCCTTTAATTTGCGTAACGCTTTCAACTGCACCGTACGCTTACACATAACATTTCTCTTAACAAGCTGGTGAGATGGGCAGCACTGTTTGGAAGATCCCCAGAGACACAAAGAAGTTTGAGTGACTCATCCAAGGTCAAAGAGTTAGTGAGTGGGCGATCTATGGACAGGTGCACAGCCGTTGGTTCCAGGCTAGGCCCGCTTGGACCGCGCAGCTGCTTCCTGTGTGTTACTGGATGTTCTCTAGGCGTTCTTAGCGTGGGGACAACTGGCGGGAAATAGATCACCTTTGATGACGGCCAATTTTACTTTACGTCTTTTATATGCTCAAACTTTATCCACTAACAAGCTTTCGTAATTTAAAGAATCGAGAATAAAGTTGAATAAAAGAAAGAGGACTGTATATCCCATTGTAATCAAATGTATTACTAACAAAAAAAGGGGAAAATGCATGTCAGAGATTTATTGCAGTAGAGATGGTTTCGTGTTACAACCATTCAGGACCATATGTCCTGGACATATGGCGTGGCACGTGCAACTGTTCTTATGGGGATGGTAGGACAGAAAGCCTGTAATGTCTGGAAAATCCGGACTATATGATAAATGTAAATGTATGAGGGTGTGGAGGAGGGGAAACAAGGTAGCATTTATTAATTAAACCATATTTATTACGTAGCTCTTTGTGTGACCAGGGTGGAGTAGGTGCTGGAGAAACAAAGAAGTCATCCACAAGGTCACAGAAAATGCTTACAAAAAAATCTATGTATCCAGTAAAAAAAATTGCACTATAAATAAACTAATACTTTAATTCCACTTTTCCATGAGATATTTAAAGTCCCCTTGCATGAAACTCATTTATTCATATACCTAACATTTATAACAACTATTCTCCCCTCAAGGACCATATACAATACTTGGACGAAAGTGAACTAGCTCATATGGAACACTTAAATATGAATATAAAATAGTATTTAAAGTATTTAAAATAGTAGTCAAAAGGAATGGAGTTAGCAGTAAATACTGTAGAGTTTGAAAAAGATGTGTCTGGGGGACCAGCAGTTAGCATAATGGCTATGTCACTGGACTCCCATGTAGTTGACCGTGGTTGAGTCCCAGACCTGATGGCTTAAACTCACGCCGGGCACATGTGCGTGCATACCCAAGATCCCGAGAGGAGAATGGAGGAGAAGGGACTGCAGTGTGGCCAGCCCCCTGGGGGGGGATTTCTTGCTTTCTGTCTCTCTGTCTCTCTGTATCTTTCTGGCAAGTACACATGCCCTATAGCGAAAACCTCTCAAAAGAAAAAAAAAAAAGATGTGCCTGGAATTTCAAAAACAGAGTTATTTTCTACATAACTACCCCTTTGAAACACCTGTCGATAAACTCTCAGGAACAACAGCAAAAGAAAACAATTAAATGAGGCATTTTCATTATTCTGAAATTGTAATTCTTACAATGGAGATGTGGTTTTGTCTTCTTGTTTTCAAGAGAAGTTCTCCCTTCCCTAATCCTTCTGTATCAGTCTCCCAGACTCCCTTGGATTACAGGCACATGCCACCTCACCTGCCCTTTAGATTGGACCTCGACCTTCCATGGGGGCCCAGTCTGTGGAGCCCAGTGCCTTCGTACGTACACCATGATCACTGAGCCGCAATGAGAGGTTTTAATGTACACATTTCATAAATGCTGTATTGGGAGAAGTAGACTGTGAACACTGGATCTGCAGAAAGAGGGGCATGGTTGGGACCAGCAGGTGGTGTAGTGGTTGGGGTGCTGGACGCTCCCACATGGCCGACCACAGTTCAAGTCCTTGACCTGGTGGCTTGCTTTTTCACCTTCTCTCTCTCTTTCTCTATGTCTCTCTCTGGTCAAATTAAAAATGAATGAATGAATCCATAAAGTTAAATAAATAATTCTTTTAAAAAAAAAAGAAAGAGGGGCATGGTAATTAATTCTGGAAAAGTATGATTCTGAAATAAATAAGACAAAATCAGAGCCTCTTAAGTATCCCATTAAGGAAGCACAGGATCAGCAGATGGTGTAACGGTTACATCACTGGACTCCCATGTGTGTGTCCTGGACCTGGCGGCTTCAAACTCATGCTTTGCATGTGTGCGTGCATGCCCAAGATCCTGAGAGGAGAATGGAGGAGAAGGGATTATGGCATGGCCATCCCCCGATGAGGGGTGAATTCTTGCTTTCTATCTCTGTCTCTCCAGTAATCACCCTATAGCAAAAATCTCTTTAAAAAAAGAAAAAGTGGGGGGGAGGGGAGGAAGCTCTTCCTCTGAAAATTCCCAAGCCATTATCTCAGGCCTAATTGCATAGAAGTATGCACAGTCAGATCAGAGTGAGGAATATTTCGTCCATAAATTGAGGATACGCTAGATTGCAATGTTTAGTCTGTTGATAGTTTATCCCACCTAATCTTATTTATAAAAGAAAAAGAAAAAAAAAAGAGTTCTACATTGGGTGAAATATGTCATCATTGGAAACCTTATTTTTATTTTTTAAACTATGTTTTATGCAATTGTAATCTTTAAATATGGTAGTTTTTTTTTTTTTTTTGAGAGGTTTTTACTAAAGGGCACGTGCGCTCACCAGACAGAGAGAGACAGATAGAAAACGAGAAATCACCCCCCAGGGGGGATGGCCATGCTGCAATCCCTTCTCCTCCATTCTCCTCTTGGGATCTTGGGTACACATGCACACGCGCCTGGCGTGAGTTTAAGCCACTGGGTCCAGGATGCAAACCACGGTCGACTACATGGGAGTCCAGTGACATAGCCATTATGCTAACTGCTGGTCCCTAATATGATAGTTTTCAAGTATGAATTGATTAGACTTTACTGCCTTTTAAAAATATATTTTTTATTATTGTTATTTGTTAATTTGTTGTAAGGCACATTCACTCACCAGAAAGAGACAGGGGGAGTGAGAGAGAGAAAGCAAGCCACCAGCTTTGGGACTCTAACTGAGGTGGGCCATGTGAGAGTCTAGCACCATGCCACGTGGTCTCCTCTGGAAACGTCTTTAAAACATCTTTGAACATCTTTAATAGTTATGCCTGTTCACATCACTATCATGAGTCATACCATATACACTTTTCAAAATGTACATATACATCGGCGTGCAGATTAATGATCCAGTACATTTTTTTCAGTATAAAGCTGGCCACATGCAAAGAACATGGTGGAATTTTCCTAAAACTGGATTGTAGTCATGGCTGCATAACCGCATAAATTAAGATTCATAGAACTCTGCCCTTTAAATAGGTGAATTCTATGACATCCAAGTTTTACTCAATAAAGTCATGTTGAAAAATGTCTGAGTTGTCATCACTCTATGGCAGAGATTGAAAGACTGGAGGACAGACAAGCATTAAAAATTGTTATGGACACTAGAGCCAAAGTAGAGAGACTAGGGGAGGAAAGGAAATTTGGGGAAAAAATGGAGAGGTGAGGCATCTGCGGGACGCAGATATGGTTTAGTATTTGTTGATGAGGACGTGCGTATGTCAAGTGGGCTGCCCTGAGGTGTGTGTCACGCTGGGTAAAGTCTCTTTACAATCTAAATGATGCATAGCAATTAAATGTATAAATAATAACTAAAATTAATGAATAAAAATTATAAAAAAGAAATTTAAAAATGTATTCAAAAAAACCTATTTAATGACTGCAGTAAGCTAGGTAGCCCCAGCTAAGCGCTACTTTATAGTATGTTCACTTCACTCACTGAGGTTTACGCCTAAACTCAGACATATGTTCATAGATATGTATGTATGAGCTGCACTTGATATTGAACGTTTTTAAATTAATTAAGATCTTTAGTGAATCAATAAAATGTGTGTGTGTGTGGAGGGGAAAGCATGGAAAACAACTGCAGATACCAGAGACAGTGTGGGAGGAGGGTGGGAATGGCAGAGGGTGAGAGGGAGGGAATCAAGGGGTGAAAAAAAGAAAAGCAAAATATACAAGAAACAAGAACTGGAAAATTATTTGCTGACAATAACAGGTATGATAATATCCTCAGTTAACCCAATATACAGTGTATTCTGGATGGGAAATCTTATTTTGAATACTATATTGATGTACAGTGAATGAAGGAAAATAAATAAATTTAAATTAAAAAAAAAAGGAAAAGAAAAATGTGTGAGCAATGCCAAAACATTTGCATGGAAATAGATACTAAAATTAATGATCTAGATATGTTGACAACCTAGGGAAATGCCCTAATAGGCAAAGAAGTAAAATAGCAATAAAAACTCATTAGTGTTAGGTGGGGCTGGATCCTTAAGCAGACAAGTTTTCTGACCTGCAGAATAAAATTCAGGGTGATGCAAAGACTCATTTTAATTACTGGGAAAATGAAAGAATATGTATTTTCACTGGCCAGCATCGTGCCAGCTGGCATATATTAAGCATGTCAAATATTCGTAAGATACCAGTGTGAGAGGATCAGTTCCCAGTTACCCTTGACATACTTGTCATATCTGTCATGAGAAACAATGAGCGATTTGAAGTTTCAAGTGATTTGTAAAACTCCAGCTGCTATGCAACCCTTATTTTTACTCATTATTTAAAAAAAATTAAATTGCTCATGGGCCCAGCAAGTGACATGGTGGTTAAAGGCGCCGGACTCCCATATGGGCGACCACGGTTCAAGTCTTGGACCTGGTGGCTTGCTTTCTCACCTCCTCTCTCTCTCTGTCTCTCTCTGATCAAACTGGAAAATAATAATAAATAAAGTTAAATAAAATAATTCTTTAAAAAAATTAAATTGCTCAAATGTGATTTTTCAATGAGCTGATAGACCCATATTTCGTTTTCTGAACCTCTTTAGTTTTCAAGATCTATTAATTAATTTATTTATTTATTATTTTCACATGAGTTTTGCCAGAAAAAGAGAGAGAGAGAGAACGAGGGAGAATGTGAAGTCAAGCCTCCAGGTCCAGGACTTGAACCGCAGTCAGCCATGTGGGAATTCCAACACCATAACCACCACGCCACTTGCTGGCCCCCTCTTTAGTTTTAAATTTATTAAAAGAGGTACACTTGACAGGGTCTTTAAGCCACAATCCTCCCATCAACCCTGCAGTCAGCCAGCATCACAGGGACACCTACAGGGTTGCCCAGCAAGTTCATGTGTTTACATAGACCTGGGGATGCAAACCCGAAGCCTTCTCACACTGTCTCTCGCATCTGTGGCAGTGCCCTGCTGTTGGCACTAGCGTGACCACACCTGAACCAATCGTTTGTATGCTTGTTGCATTGGGGCAGGGTAGAAGAGAGTAACATTTTTTTT